GAAGCAACACTATTGGCCTGTAGAAGAGGAAAGGGCGGGGCTTAATGTCCTTTAATCGTCTGTTCTCAACGCAATAGCACGTAAAACAGAATTCACATTTTTTTAAAACACTCAAACTCCAATGCGCATAATATACACACACTGAATTCTTCAGTGTAAAACTGATACAAAGATGCTCTTTCTATACACAAGCACCACATAATGAAGGACTAAATGGGGCGAAGCTCAGAAATAAATTTAACTTTGGAGTTATACGACCCTTTTATCCCTCAGGAAAGAATTCTGGATAACCACTGGACACAGTGTGGGAGGGTCCCAGGGTCGATGCAGATGTGGTGATGGTGGAAAATATTTGTGTCCCTACAGGGAATCGAACAGTGGTAGTCTAGCCCGATAGGTAGTCAATGTATTGATCTATGCCAGCTCTTTATAAAAATGCACAATGATTATAAAATAGCTTTGACAAGTATACGAAGAAGGAACATCTTGCATTATCAATTCAAAACTGTTATTGTTAATTATAAATTACAACACTAAGTATTAAGATACTTGTATAAATATAAATTATTCGGGTTCTGATACATTTTTTATTGTGTCAAGAAAACCTAAACAATTCAAGAAGTGCTGAAGGGTTTGGAATATGACCATCGTGTGGTATTATAATGCATTTTCTAATATTCGAAAGGGAATAAATTTCTGGGGAAAATACTTTAACCTAAAAATATATTAAACTATGCAATATTGCATAGTTTGCATTAATGAAATTTGTTAACAAAAAAATCTAACTTCAATAAACTAATATCAAGATCAAATTGGAATTCATATTCTAGGAAGACCTGTGTATTCTGACTCCGAAAGGAATATACTTTACGACTTTCTCCCTAGTCTTCTAAGGCTGCGAAATTGACAGCTGAAATAAATAGACCTATTGATATAAAGGGATTTTAATGACGTTTCCCTCAAATTCATGTCCTTAATTAAACTGGAAATTGAAATCTGCCCTTGCAGTTGCATTTAGACTAGATGGTATAACAGACCCGCCGTGGTCTACAGTAAAGTTGTGTCTGCGTTATTACTTTCCTCAATCACTACGTATTTCCATGCCCCACGTGATCACCGCACCTCTTAAAAGTATTATGTATCAACCTGCGGTTACCTAAGTGAGCACTTAACTACTAAGCCGAATGATGAGGAAATCCTGGACCACTTGCGTAATCAAAAAAGGTAAATAACAGCAGTTCCAGAAATAGTGAAGGTCTGGCGTCATTTGCAATTAGTATTACGACATGTCTCGTGCTTAACATACCCGAACTATAAGAAGCGAAGGTCTCTTTTGACAAAGAATGGACATGACCATGAAAATTCTCGGTCACAGTATACTGGTGTTAAAAAAAGTTTTTTCCTTGACGTAGAATTTTTACACGCTGTAAGAAGGAAATAAGTTGAGAGCAAGCTAAAAAGTGGAATACGATAAAAATATCGGATAAATTTTAAATTAACATGAAAATAATGTAATAAAGTCCCTAAATTGACTTACGCATTCTCAGTGGATAAGCAGGTGTACGGAGACCAAGAAGTAGATGGAAATACCAATGTAATTCCTGTCTCATAAATTATGCAATGTCTTACTCATTACAGGATTAACTGTGTTTGTCTTCATACTATGAAATTGAAGACAATAATTCTCGAAATATGCAACGCTTTCGCCACAAATAACTTTCTTCCGACGTGCACAGACACATTCTGTGTCCTGTGCGTGTTATGATCAGACACTTCCGAAGACTCGCACATCTTGCACAGGTTGGTAAAAATTTCCGTATCTAAACTTTTATGTGGCGTAATACGTAAAACTTGTGAAATATTTTATCACAGCGTTGGTTCAGATATATTGCATAATTGGTTAAATGTTAATTAAACCTAAGAAGATAACTGATTTTACTGAATATAACCATTAAACAAGAAGACGCAAAGAATCGGAAATATCATATAATATTCCTGAATTCACGAGGTGTATCATCCACATCATTAAAAGAAGACATTTGAATAACTTACGAGAATTAAAATATATTTTGAAAACCAACATGAGAAAAGAAAATTTACGAGTCCTGCCACCTGGAATAACCAAAGACAGAACAAAAAATGAGTTCAATTCCTGGCATTGTCGCCGAAGCACTTTCTTTCACCCAATAAAGGTTTTGAGGCATGTCCAGTTTTAGGTCTCATTGGAATCTAACGGGGCTCTTTAATGAGAAATAGAGGCAGCCGGGGCTTATAGCCGACAACTCCTCTTCGGCTAAAGGCAAGGTTAAGAATGTATGCATTTCAGCTCAAGTTCCCTATACGCCTTATTACCTTAGGCACTGTGATAGCTCCTAAAATTCCAATGGAAAAAAGTGTCACCCCAAATTGTTAACTGTCTCAAATGACCTCTACAATTGTGTAAACATGAATGACCTTAACACATGCAACAGAATTCATTGCATGTTTATTTATCTTCTTCAAACATCAGATGAAGATAAATGGCAAACACCTGTACACTGCTTCTAAACCTCGACACAAGACATTGGGTGATACGCAGTTTAGCTGAATGTCTCAATCGAGCTGGGGGAAAACCGGGCTCGTACATATTTTCCTTAAGCAGAATGGATGCAAATGAACAACTGAACTGAGGAAAAGACGCACAACGGACGGAAACAAAGAATGACGGAAAGATATAAGGAAACACAGAGAGACAATAAAATAAGCAAAGATGCAAAGAGACAGATTAATAAACAAACGCAGAAAGAAATGTAGAAAGAAAGTGTCAAGCAATGAAATCTAATCTATTAGCAGAGTCCTTTGAACAATGTCAAAGCAGTGTTAAGACTCAGAAAATAAATCCCTCATGAGCTGCCTTTCTGTAATTCCTAAATGAACTGAATATTCCTATTTTCCTCAGCCAGTTTCTTATACCACGGTCTTTTCATGGGCATATACACGTCATGTGGGTATTTCTGGATGTCTAAATTATAAAAGCTCTTGATGGCACATGGAGCCACTATTGAAAACGCACGTTTTGTTTTGAAGATCGAATCTTGGCGAGAAGTCAACTGTCACAGAATCAGACAAATGATAATGTAGTAGTGTTGCAACATTTGACTTCACAACTCGGTTATCGCAGCGAGATTGTTAGCCTAATTACCTTGGTACCCGTCCTTAGCACCAAGTTGTAACTGTCTATCCGCGAATCATTTCCTAAGCTATCAAACAGATCTAGATGAAATTTGGTATTTGGGGTCAACACTAGACATTGTTGAACGAATGTAATTTTCGATATAATACTTCGCCCCTTCGGCCACTGGTGTTGGTATTTTAGACCAGTATAAAACAATGTAATGTAAAATTGTTCTTTTGGATTTCACTACATGTGTCGGAAGCTGGATTCTGCTTCAGTCTTCAGGTAAACGGGAGGAAAGAAGGCAGAAACCCTATCCGTTGGGCCCCTCGGTTGAACTAAGTTATTTACACACAATTAGTAAATATTTTTTCATTGGCATGTTAAATAATTTATTAACAACTTCAAATAATGTGCTCAAAATTGACTGAACTTCACAAATTGTTAAATGTTGTTATTCAGTTCCCAAAAATATAAACTTTAATACAGGTCTTCCTGCCACCAATTTAATTTAAATAGGTTAGGTTAGGCAAAGAATTAAGGTATCATTAAGGTGGGTTTAGATTAAAATATTCAACCAAGAAACGAGTGAGGGGCGAGGCATATTCAACCAAGAAGAGAGAGGAGGCATGGTATGTATTACGTTTAAAGAGACGAGAAATGCATCCAGAATTTTGGCCTGAAAACCTTTCGAAAGAGACCACTTATAAGACTTAGGAATACGAGATGGAAGGAAAATGTTAAACTTGATATAACAGAGAATGGGTATTGAGCTGCGGGCATAATCCAATGATGAGTTTTGTGACCTATCATTATGCTAATGGTTAAAATAAGATATTGTTTCAGAATCTGTATTGAGATTCCGAACTGCCCTTTATTATGAAGTTACAAGGGGTATGGGCCAAGAGTTACAGGCTTGTAGGTTTTCTAATACGCCCGGAAGGATGAAGTCGCCCGAAACAGGGCGCGGCAAACCTTTTATTTATGTTTTAAAACCACTGAAAGTTGTAAATATTAGAACTTAAAATATCCAATAACAGCTAAAAAAGCTTCCAGGAATTACAAGAACCCTAGCGTCTAACAGTATGCTTAACCGAAAGCTTGAACTTAAAGCCAAAACCCGAGCTTAAGCCTACAGCCTAGGCCTTTTTCGGGAAAGTGATCAACAAACATCACTACAATAAATATTTTATTTAACCCCGAATAAGTTCAATAAAACATTCTATTTTTCGCTGCTTTAATTTTGATTTTTACTAGTTTAACATAATTTTTTTTCCATATATTTCAAATATAACTTTATAAATATTTTTTCAAAACCTAAATAAATTCTACTCTTGCATGACATAAAATACAAATATTTTTAAGATATTTAACTTTCATTTCATATTTCAATACGTTAAATATTTAACAAAATACAAACAATGAAAAACGATTATTTACTGTATATCTGTAGCTTTGCAACCTTAACCTTAAAACCAGAGAAATACTCCAAATCAGAAAGAACTCGTTTAAAAATTTATACTCCATTACATATTTCTACTCCTTTCACGACGAAAGAATTTGCCGATGTGAATTACTGTTACGTGTCACCAGAAATAAATTGCCTGCACAACATAAGTTTAACATATAACAATAACATTTAAAGAACCCTCCTCTTTTATATTAAAAAACGAATATACTTCCATGTACACTCCTGCCCTCTGCGCTACACAGCTTTTGTCATCCACTGATAGCGTTTGGCAAATGTGACTTCCATGCTGTGAAGTAACGCCACGAACGATCACAGTTTCAACTTCAGCTAGATCGAGACAGAACAGTTTTCATGCAATACGACACTGGGACTTACCATGTTTGTGGCGGTCATTCTGATACATGACTCGTGGAACCAAACAGTTGTGTGTGTGTGACTTTCTCCGCTCATGACCCTCCCAACACTGCTGCCTGTCCCTTAGCCGCTCTTGTATACCACCATAATGTCCCCTCCACCCCTGCTCCACTTCGGCCTAGACGCTATGCGTCCAGGCGCCCTCCTCCCCCACTCCCCCCGCAATAGTGGTTTGATTTCACTATCCGAGTATCGATACATGCGCATATGCAACGCGCACTGGCGGGAAATATTTTCATTATATCGTAGGAATTTCATTGTTAAGTGCAAGGTTAAAACCTGACATTACTTCATATTGATAAAACTGATATTTTAGTTGGTTTCATTTTTGTATGTTTTTGCACATCTATATTATCGGGGTTTGTAATTTGTTCTAACCAATGGCGCTGTTGCAATCTTTCGATATAATCTCGTTACTAAATCGAACATTAATGTTAGTATATTTTACTAAAAAAAAAGTGAAGATTCTATGGCGTTTCGCGTTTTTTGACTAGCTTATAACAAATTAGGAAACGTACACATAGCGTAAGAATTCTGACCATTCGCTTTAACAAAAATGTAAGATGCAAAATGTTATTGACCTTCTATAATAAAGCTTGTTGTTCTGCAAACAATTACCGTTTTCAACCAAAATGCAACAAATGGGCCAAGAAATTGTACATTACTCACATACAGGCTTTCGAAATGTATACTTTTAAACTATTGTAGTCTTAAGTATACTGAAATAATCGATTATGTCGCGACCTCCGTGGTAAAAATTGGGCTTCGAGTCTTGGCCGGTGCAGCACCTTGCATTTTACTTGTTTGCGCTTATAATTATCACCTCGTACAAAAACAATAAAGCAAACTTCTAAAAATCTGCCTATTAACTTTGCCATGTCTTTTGGCGTGTAACAAATCCGATCCACTAAACAGATTGTCGAAAAAAATGGGGAATTTTACTAAAATCTGTACACACATTTCAGTTCTGGATAAAATATAAAAATAATAACAGCATGTTACATCAAGGTGTATATATGTTCTGTTTGCGTCTGACCTGTAATGAATTAATCGGCCCTCGGTAACACCCACTTTTCCCATGTGTATGGTGTCCACGCCCTTTTATTCACAATGAGCAACATACTGTACAAGCAACATTACACCCGTGTTGCGTGGGCTGCATCCAGGCCTTTCCCTAGCGGGAAAAGCTTCCAATGACGTAATCCCACACATATTAACACAGAGCAAAAAACCCACCGAACACAACCAAATCTTATTTTCCTCATATGCGTGTTCCTCCACCACGTGCGTGAAAACATAAATTATACAACAGCATATGAATATGTATATAACTGACATTTAGTTGTACTGTTATATAAAAAAATACTACTAAAACCAAACATGTAATGATCAGTTGTACTCCTGTTTTGTACCTTTGAAGTGTGGAGTTCAAATCCAGACACCAACTTTTCTAACTAAAGGTTTCATTATTTTCCCTAGTTATTCTACAAAATACCTTAACAATGATCCAATATAGACTACAAACAACAATACTTCAATCTATTACATCAAAAACACTTAAAATTGGCTGCTTCTTGGGTTAAGGTCACTACATATGTTATATAGCGCCAAATGAGCTCTGATGGTCATAAATAATAATCAGGCAAGGATGTAGACAGATGAAGCTGTGGCCTATTTCACTGGATTTTAAGAGCAAGAATTATGAAGCCTTTCATTATATAAATTTTCTCAATTTTCCTTTTATTACCTTGTCTTAGATAAAAGTTTTTCTCAAACGTCATACCCACATATAGCAACTGAAAAAATCACAGCTTCGCATACCTTAACCTCTAAATATCAAACATCACTACCTAGTGGTCAGCATTCCTACTTCATATCTCGGAAATCCTGGCTTGAAATCAAAACCCAGATATTGGTTATCCTGACTGACAATTTTCAAAAATGTCCTTGGTCCTTCCCAGATGTGCCAGGATATCTTAAATTGGGCCAAAACTGCTTCCTTCCTTATCCTTTCCAATTTATTATTCATTAATCTCATTTAATACTATATACAGTCTGAAGTACAGACAGCGTTGTCAAATAAATGTTTAACAAATAAACGAAATAAATCCACATTTCTAGGTAGAACACAACAGAAATCCGACACATACTCTGAATTACTTAAACTTACAAATACATACAGAAAGTCTGTTCAGAGAATGTAAACAAAGAAGTTCACCTCTTAACTGAAAAATAAACCTGTAAGAGAAGCCCTCATTGAAATCAGTCAACATATTACCTCACACCATGTATTAGAATTACATAACTCTAATGACATAATCCAGATACCAATGGAAAACAGCGTGATTACTGTCCTTTTCATATACAGTAGAAGTTTAACAACACAAATACCTCGTAAAATAACATTTATCAAAACATATCACTTACCTTTATGATTTTCACTGATGCAAATTCAAACAAATTAGATTAAAATATTTTATTTTGAATAATCCAGTACAAATTCAAATTCAACGTATACACCAACATGAAGTCTAAACACAAAGTATGTATCTTACTATTAATCTCCTACTGATTACACTAATTAATATGACAAAATCAATATTTCCAAATACAAATCACAAAATAACAGGTTTGTCGATGGCGAGTACAAATAAACTAAATAAACTAAAAGAATTAAGCTGACGTATTAAACAGTTTGCACTTGTAACACACAGCAACTAATGATGGCAGTATAAGAGCTGAAGTATTATCTATAGCTACATATTAACTTTACATTAATTCTATAACAACAAAATTCAAACCCAAATGTTACAAATTAATGTTAAAAGCATACATCATGTCACAGAGAGTCTCATTTTTCAACTTCCATGTGTTTGCAACAGTGACAGACCAGTGCCAATCAAAAAGTAATTTGGTTGATAACTTTTAGAGCTGGTTGATTATATGAATCATCAGGATATGAAAAGCTTAACCAAAATGCAGCTACTCGGAGCTCAGGTCTTACAGACATACAAGCATACATGCTGAAGACAGTGTGTACTATGGAACATTTGACAAAAATGCGTAAAAAGCATACGCTAAGCACAACTGGGACATAACATGATCATTTTCTGTCGACAGTGGATTTGAAAATCTTTTCCCCAAACCAGCCTTGGGAAAGGACTATGTATTTTGCATTCTGCAGAACATTTGCTAGAAGATTGGGAAAATACAGTATTTTTTAAAATTTGCAATGTTTCATAGTTCATAACAAAGCTCTTTTTTTGAAATGCAATGGTGTATTGAGGATTATAGATTTATTTCATATTCCTTAACTATTTCAGCAAAGATGTTTCTCAAATATTATTAAAAAGAACTTTCTTCTATCTGTAAACCATTACTAATCTTTTTCTTTTCAGTTCACTGAGATAATAAGTTATTGACCCTGATTATAAAAAAAATAATAAAAAAAAAAAGATCTGCAAATTTAGTTTCAATTTGACTTCCCTGGGAAGACTGAAATCATAATCCAAAAGTAATTTTTTTTAGGTAGATCATGCTAGGGTTCTGTAATAAGTGGCACTATTACTGTGTATCCATGTGAAATTTGAAAGGAAGTGAAGTCAAATAACCTGATCACAAGTCTAGAATTTTATTTTCAAAAGAATGGGAAAATGTTTGATTTTAGTATCCATATGCACAGTCCACATTCTAATTGAAAATTATTACATCTGTAAACACGGCTTCTCACAAAAACCACCTTAATCTTGAACCCTGTGCATTCAGTCCATGAACATATTGCATACATAAATAAATATTTATTAAGGAACAGTCATTTATTCAATGAGCTTTATTAAAATCATGCAATGAAAGTGGAAAAATCAATCATCCGAATTAATCTGGAGGCCCCAATAGCAATAATATTCTACATATATCATGTATAATTGCTATTTGTCTGATTGTAAAACCTTGTTATCAGGATTTTATAAGAATTATAATTACTGCAACATGGTCAAACACTATTAATAATCAGTGTTCCACAGAATAACCTGATATTGGGCCCTTGTGAACATTGTGATAAACCTTTATGTCCCATAGAAGGCAGTAAATTTCTTGACTAGAGCTCTTTCCTCAAGACGGACTAAGGAGTAGCATAACCTGTTTAATAATGAATATTTCACTAAAAGAAAACTTAACAAAACACAGCAGCAGGTAATTGTTACTATATAATGCGAGAATAATTAATTCGTTTCTACCTAGTTTCCAAATTCACAGAATTATATTCAGTACTTGCAAATTAAATGAATCCGCATTTCTGTAAAAACTGCCTATATCTCTATAGTTAATCACATAATAAATACAGATTTAAATTCAGAATTATTTTATAACTTGTTTCATTTTAAATTTTTAAATAAGAAAGAATAACATACAACATATGAATGCCAAGGAGTGCTTGACATTTTAGATAATGCTACAGCTATTTTGAGATCGCAATAAAATTCAATAGTTAATTTTTCAGTTTTATTAACATAAATGATCAATTACTATGTGAAAAATGGCAAAACTGCCACTGTGTACAAGCACTATGATACGAAGATGTGCAGGAAGAGCTCCATGCATTCTAGAACTTAGCAGAAAAAGTGAACAGAGATTTTCAAGATCCATTCTCTTCACCTCTGTAATATTGGACAAGAAGCTTCACAGCATTCAATACAAGGAACATCAGCATCACAGTACAACATATTGGACTGATTGTTTTTAGTACAGACAAAATCTTAAATTCTTAGGACTCGAGTATATTAATTCTAGGTTCGAAGTTACTTTAACCCATTCAGTCCTAATCTCCAATGAACCTTTGCCTACAAAGAAATCCATGATGTTCGTTGTGGCACTTGCATGTATCAACTACAGATGAAGTTCACCATGTGGCAGAAAACTGGCTTTCCATCTCTGAATTATCAACTCGTCTCAGTTTCACATGTTACATTCTCTTTCAAGAAGTAAAATGTTATAAATTAAAACAAAATTCTAAGATTTTGTTTCATAAATGCATTTATTTAACCAAACATGTTTCAATTGGCATCTTTCAAGCTTTGAAATAACTGCTATGATTTCCAGGCCACACAATACATATTTTACTGAATTATAATATATCTTCATTATTATTAATAATTAATTAAGCCAGCCACTTTTAACTTTTACTTATCCTTATTTGATCTCTAAAACTACAGTACTACCAGCCATTTACAAACGGATGCTCCAGTGCTTCTGATGCCGTAATCCTCGTTTCAGGATTCAAATCCAGAAGTCGTTCCAGAAGGTGGTATGCAGAGCTCGGATATTCCGTCTCTGAATTAGTATTGGTGCCCTCTGAAGATTGTGGTGAATCATAAGTATCAGTGGGTAAAAGGCACAGACATCCATCTAACTCATCTATAACCTGCAAGCACTCTGAACAGACAGGGGCTCCCGGAGGTTTGCCTGGCCTCCCTTCTTTTCGGTGACGACGCAGACGCTCACACAGCTTTCTTAAATTCAATGCTTTCTTTTCCACACTGCAGGTTACCAAGCGGCCTAAACCAAACAAAAGTAAAATTAAAAATAGCACTTCCAGTTGAGTAGTCTATGCAAGTGGTCTTTCCTGTGTAACCCCTGGTTAAAGCAGAAAAAACACCTAGTGTTAAAAAGTGTACACAGTTCAAAATACATAAATACAATGTGTACTTACAGTGAATAACATTCCTACTCTGTTCAGTATCTTCATTTCCATTTCTTATTGATGAGATTTCCTCCCCATTCATATGTCTCTCCATTTCCATCTCATTTCAAACAAGTAGTTTCCTGCAATTCTAATCTTGATCATACATGACTACGGGATTTCAAACCCCATATTAAGGAGTTGCCAACCAGACTTTTACTCTGGAGTCTGGTTTAATGGTAGGCTACTGCAATGCACGGTCAGCTTGACTGCGCATATGCTGTGACGCAAGACCGATAACGGTCACATAAAACTTGTTACAATTAATGATCTTCACAAAAATTATTTCTTCAACCATTTATCACATTTAAAATTTGAATTTCAACCTAAGGTTTCACTACAGCTCGAATTAACACGCATGGCATTTTCCCACACTCTGAATAAAAGACACATCTTTCCGAACAGCAGGAGGCTCAACAGATAGGCTTTCTGTCCTCTTCCCCCCCCACCCCCCCCACCCCCCACACCCG